ATATTTTTATTAGATACATTATATATATATATATATATGAAGAGAAATCTATTTACTATAAAAATAAATTTTTATAAATTTATTTTATCTAATAATTATGTTCTATGTATATAAATTTCACATCATAAAAAAATATAGATAGATGAATTTGAATCAATCGTTTAAAAGAAGAAAAAAAAAATTGTAAACTATTGACATAGTGATGAGATAAGATTAGAAAGTTAAGAAGAGTACTATATTGGCCCAAAGAAGTTTGTTTCAAGGATTGACCACGAGTCAGTCTCGTGCATTATATATAATCAAATAATTAAATACTAAAATCATTTATTACTCAACTTCTGTCCCATGCTTAACATTAAAACTATTTTTATGAGATTCACAAGTTTTCCTTGTTGCAGTTAAAAATTTGGCCCCATCCATACCTTCATATCCAATTATATGAACTAAAACCTAATTACTACTATTAGTTTATAATTAACTAAACTTTTCAATCAAAGAGAAATAAAAAATAAAAAATAAAAAATAAAGGAAACTTCAGAATGACGTAATTATGTACATTTCGTGCAGGTCTGAACAAAATGACCTATCAACTGTCATAATATATGTTTGACTGCGCCACCACAAGAAATGTAGAAATAATGAAATATAATTCTTGAGAACATATATAATATCATTTTTTGAAACAAATATTTCTTAATTTCAACTTCTAGTTCTAGACACACTTTTAAAGTATTCATATGTAAATTTTTTTTAACGAAAATTACAATGAAGTTATATCTCACACACACATGGTGTAATTCTTTTGTGCTAAAGTATTTCACAACCAACACAGAAGGTGTTATTTTCCAACCAGCAATTAAAAATTTAATTTGTTTTTAAAATGTGACCAGGATAGATTGTATATCTTTTAAAAAAAATTCATTCACATGATTATATATTAAAAGACTAAATTATTTATCAATCTACTCCTCCAACCTTTTTATTATAATTTTGGCTCTTTACTTTTGCATTAGAGATTTTTTTAAAAACTAACATCTTTTTCATTAAGTCACGTGATTTTTTTTAATATCAAATATTGTTTTTAATTTTTATTTTTTTCAAATATTATATTTATTTAAATATAATTTTAATTTAATATAGTTTAACTTTTAAATTTTGAACCCTGATAAACAATATCATATAAAAGATGCTTTCGTTTTAAAATTGAATATATTATATAAAAAATTGTGATATAATTTCAAAAACATATATTTTTAAAAATAATATTGTACAAATTAAGGCGAGTCAAACATAATTTGAATCCATGCTATAAGTTAAATCAAATTTTATTTTAAAACTTTAACCGCTCATCAACCATAGACTAAATTAAATACGTGAATTAGTTGAGTCTTGTTCATCCCTAATATACATCCTTCATTTTCTGTATAATATAAATTAATGAATTATTTTAAATTAATTTTTTTAAGTCTATTTTTCAATAAAAATATTTTAAACTATTTTTTTAACGAAAGTGTTAAATTTAATTTAATTTCTTATATCTTTTAATTAGTTATTTTATTTTTATTTTTAAATTAAATTTTAATACTTTAAAAAGAAATCATCAATAAATAAGAATAATTTTATATCACAACATAAATTATGTATTATAAATTTAAAATATAATTTATATAATATAAATTTTAATTGTAATTTATATTTATGTCTATATAAATTTGAGAACCTTTAAAAGGAAACATTGGGCATGTGTGAATTTGTTAAGGTTCCAACTTTATTTTTACTTGTTACTACTTTTGAGAACATATGCTACTCTATATAAGTGTTTCATCTAGGACGCATGTTATTTTGTTGTTAAAATTAAAAACTCCTCCACCCCATCTTTTTTATTTTTATTTTTTTAACTTTCTAGGCATTATTACAGTTAGTTAATATATGATGTAAATATCTGAAAAAAGATAAAAGAAAAGGAAGAAGAAAAAGAAATACATATCCTACAATTAAAAGTTCATGCTTGCACATTTCTAATTTCTTGGCATCATATACAAAAGAAGAAGATTTCAAATTAGAATTAATTGGTTCAGGAAAAGTATGGATCCTTTGGCAATTGCTGAGTCGTGGATTGAATTTGACGACCTTATGACAAAATGTCTATTAGAAAGGCAGAAATCAAAATTGGAGGGTTATCATGCTTTTTAATTTGAAGATATTTAGAAGTAGACAGTGATTTTTGTTAAAGTTAGCTTTCGAAATTTCCCTAC